GGACATGACCTTAAACTAACTGGAGAAAAGTTCAAAACTAATCTCAGAAAGTACAATTTTATTGAAAGGGTAGTTGATGCTTAGAATAAACGTCCATGCTTTGGACAGGCATAGATCTGTACTCAGACAAAAAGGTTAACAAAAATAAAACGCCCCCCCCCCAAAAACAAAAAACTAAGAAATCAGGTAGACTTGATAGACCACTCGCTCGTTTTCTGCCGTCACTTTTCTATGTTTCTATGTAAGTATCGATGGACTACAAGTGTGCTGAGAGCCAATTGACACCAGGTGTTTTTTTTCCTTAGCACAGCTCAGTGTGAGACAAGTCACTGATTGCTGCCCTTGTAGTCCATGAGAACTACAGACAGGACTTGTAGCCTTTGTAGTCATTCATAGATCACTCGTAAATGTGACAACAGTTGTGGGATAGAGAAACTCCTGCAAGCTGTTAAGGGGAAGGTAGGGACTCTGGGTAGATGCTTAGGGACTTGTTACATATTACACCCTATATATGGTGAATAAACACCCTAAATAAAGGTGAACTTGGCCTTTAACCCTTTCCCTGCCAGGTCCATACAGCGTACGGACCTACAGCACTGCTTCTAGCTGGCCAAGTCTGTACACACATGCATTTCTCCTTTGCTGTAAGCTCATGGTAACTTCAGTTGCCATGAACTTGTAGCAGAATTGTTCAGCAGATGCTGCTGAAAAAACAGATAGCTGTCACCTAAAATGCCCCCCCAACTCTTCCTTACCCTGTGCCTCACCTCCCCTATGATTCCCCCCCTCGCAAACCCCAATTCCCTTGTGGCTGCCCTTCAGCTATTGGCTTCCTTCCTGCCTACTTTGGGCAGAGGGGTTGTCCATAAATAGATTCCAAGCCCTCGATTCCCCCCCCCCCCCCCCCCCCCCCCCCCCGTTCTGACCACACTTCTATCACCCCACCTCCGTGATGGCTCACCCTCCTACTTCTCACGCTGGCTGCAGCCGTTGACAAATCACTGAGTTCTGTTTAGACCCCTGATGTCTCTCAAAAGCCCCCACCCCCCAAATAAAAAATAAATAAAAATTTACCTGTGCAAAAAAAAAAAGGCTCCATATACACTGAAACATTTTTCTGCTATACGTGGCAAAAACACTTGTGAACGCGATACCGTGTTTAGTCGTGTTTAGCTCTTGGATGTTTATTAATTTCATTGGTCAGAGTACTTGCCATTGAAATGAATAAACACCTAAGTGCTGAATACGGTTAGCGCTTTGACACATTTAGACTCGTCTTTGGCGCATTTAGTGTTCTTTAGCCAAAACGTTCCTTTCCTGAACGCGATTCTTCTACATTCAGGAGAGGGATGTTTAACTGGATCTAAACTCTGCTGCTGTTAAACTCTGATAAAAGTCTTTGTGTCTCTTACATAAGTTGAGTTCAGGGGCGTTGGCAAAAAAAAGCCAAAAGCTCTTGGAATTATATTTATGAGCATAGCAAGGCATAATACAGCGACACAATGTTTATCTGCATAGGAATGCACAGGTATTCCGTACATCCCCATACAGACAGTCCCATTGATGTAATTTGGGACACAGCAGGTGCACGGGAATGCACAGGTGTTCCCATCCATATCAGTTGGGATGCAGTGGCTGGATCGACACAGGTACTGCTCCCAACTTGACATCCGTGTAGGTGTCCCTAACTCACACTGTCTGCGTTTGGGGCCATACACCTGCATAGATGTCAGATCTATCCTTGCAGCTGTGTCCCAGTTAACATGAATTAGACTGCCTGCACAGGGATGAACAGAACACCTTTGCATCCCCAGGTAAACACGGCCCTCCATAGGCGTACACTTTACCACACCCCATTGAACAAGTCCTTAGTGGGAATTTTGTAAGTTATGTTGTGGTTTTGTGTGAAAATAAGGATTTTCTTTTCAGGGATTTTATTCAGTTTAAATAAACAATGGTGCGCAGAGGTACGCAGATATAATAGTACAAACATACATTAGTATTAAGGAGGGAGGCAACCTGCTTCCCCAGAGTAACAGTGGGATGAAGAGAGAAGCAACATAATACAAATGACCATTTGAGTGTTCAATCAGAGGGTGTCTTATTCTGCTCTATGAAGGTGACTGCAGGAGGCCATTTTAAAAGGTATAACATAGCAAGAAACAAAAACTACAACAAGGGTGCAAATCCCATATTGAGGGAAACCGTTAAATTAAGAACATGAGCTAACTTTGCTGGAATACAGCGTAAACAGAATTCTGTGTTATCAAGGAGGGGGTGGGTGGGAGGGGGGCTTGGGAAGGTAGATGTAAGTAGGGTGAGGGGGTGTACCTGTCATCCCCTGTGAGTGTAGGCAGAGCAGTGCTTTGTATATTCATTTTACGTATCATCTAGGTATGTGTAGGCTGCTCTCGCATGAAATCAGCTGAATCCAGGTAATGTAACCAACAGGCCCACGTGTGAGTAAATTTAGTAGGTGTATCATGCGTTGTGTTGATAAGCTCCTCCATTTCGGCTGTTTGCCAGATGCGTTGGAACCATTCCGCAATGGACAGGGTTTTAAGAATTCCATTTTAGTGGAATGCAGCATCTGGCCACATTGACTACTAAATGCATAGCCTGAGACCTCTGGTAAACGAATCGAGGAAGAGAAGAATAATGTAGGAGGTATTGTGCCGGCGTACAATCCAGGGTGTATGTGGTAATTTTGGCAATAATGTCTTGTACCCTTTTCCAGAATGATTGTAGTTTGGGGCACTCCCAGCAAGTGTGCAACAATGAGCCCGATGCGGAAATTGAGTGGGAGATTTTGTGAAGGAGTTCAGGGGTTTTGTACCAGGGAAAAATAGTTTGTATCCCATTTCTTGTGTGTTTACATTTACAGATCCTTTGTGTAGATGGAGCAGAATGTGTTCCCAGTCATCATCAGAAAGATCGAGAGACAGTTGTCGTTCCCAATGTTTATTTTAGTGTATTTCTAGTGAAAACAATGATTTGATAAACATTTGCATATCACGGGGCTCTAAAAATCACATGCTTTCAAAAAATATATGGTTTGGGGGGATCCTTTACAAACTCTGAAAGCTGTAAGAGAAAAATAAAAAAGCAATGGAAAAATTGTAAAAATGATCTGGCCACCTGGGTTTAAAAGTGGAGCGCAGGGCCTGACAGCGAAAATGGTCAAAGAAAGAGGAGGGGATGCACGTTCCTAGTAGCTGGGAGGAGTTTAGAGGTTACAAACAATGAATGACAGAAGGGAGGGAGCAAGTGCATATCGATAACACATGGAAGGAACGGGGAAGTGATAATTAAAGGGAGAGATAGTTTGTTATAGAAATGGAGGTGATGTGCCCATGTACACTTGAATGAATGAGCTGGGGAAGAAAAGCCTATAATGAGAAGAGTACAGTATATGTATGACTTCAGAACAGGAAATAAGGTGATAAAACGTGAGCGATGTTGACAGAACTGAGAAAAGCTCAGACAGAAGTTAGGCCTGCAACACCATCAGTAGAAATGTGAAAATAGAAGATGCTGATATTGTTAAGCTGTCTGAATTAAAACTAAAATTTAATATATGGATTATTATAATACAGGATTTATACAGCGCCAACAGTTTGCTCAGCACTTTACAATATAACGGGAGACAATACAGCAACAATACAGTTCAATACAAGAGGGATTTGAGGGCCCTGCTCCTTGGAGCTTACAATCTAGGAGAAAAAAACAATAATGAATAGTGTTGAGAACATGTGAAGAATATGATCTCATGGGAAAAAACACTCTGTAATAGAAAAGTATCCAATTCAAACAAACAGAAAAGGGGTGAGAATTGTTGAATGAGTACAGTAAATGTCAGATTACGATCAGTAAACAAAGTGACAAAGTTTTCTATGTGGACTTTGACATGCACCTAAAGTGTTTGTAAAGGTATTTTTTTATTAAGATAACAAATGTTATACTTACCTGCTCTGTGCAGTGGTTTTGCACAGAGCAGCCCTGACCTTTTTCTTCTGAGGTCCCCACCTGGCACTTATGGCCACTTTTTGCTCGTAGGAAGTGTACTGAGACCCTATGATCTTTAAAGTACAACTCAAGGCAGAAACTTTTTTCCGTTTTAAATGGAGTGAAGAGAAATTAGAATACCTGTCAGGTTTTTATTGCTGTCTGTGTCACTGTTGGGGAAATTCACATTCTGTATCTGCTCTTGTGACAGTTATCAGTGAAAGTGGAAGAAAATCCCTAATTTTGGCTTGTCACCAGAGCAAGAATAGAAGGGAAATCTTCCAATGGGGACAGCAGTTCTGGTGACAACGGATTTTGGAGGGATTTCCTCTTGTTCACTGTTTTTGACTATTGGATAGAAAGTGAAGGGAAATCTCCACAATGGGACACAGATGGCAAAAACAACTGATAGGGGTTATAACCCTCTCTCACTCTATAAAAGTGGAACTAAAAGCAAAACTTTTTTTTTTTTTTTTTTTTGAAACTCCCAAATTCATGTTAAACTGATGCCTATTCTGCCTTTGCCTAAATATCTATATTGCCCTGCATGAAAAATGACACTCCAACAGAGTAATCCCGTTACCCACTTTGGCTTTTTTGCTCTTTTGTAAAGTAGGTGAAAACTGTAAAACGCATACCTATGTTGTGTTTAAATTAAAGTGCTTGACACTGCATTTTGACTCCTGTTTCAGATTGGCAATCGGAGATTACAAGTCTAGACAGCCCAGTTCTAGTAGAGATCTTGGTCTGCAAGTTCTTTGGTGTGTGATGTTGGAAACTCCACTGATGTCAAGCTGTAGCTCAGATCTCCACCTATCTGTTGTTAGACTTCAAATGTACTGATTGCACAGGAGATGTGGAAGAAGTTATCCTCCATACCTTCTGTGTTCTCAAATATGTCAGATCTACTAGTATATAACTTACACAGGGAGACAGGTATTGCTATTTGTACAGTGGTTCTAGTGCTGATGTGATGTGTTTTGTGCTCTTTTTAGTGGCCCACCTGGAGACCACTCCCAATTGTCACCATGCAGCTGGCCGGTAAGGAACAATATTTGATAAACATGTTTCATTCCCAGACACCCTGAATGTTTGCGATTCTGAAAAATGAATGTGTTCTTTCGCTTGTAGTGTGTAGTTTAGCTCACTCATGCTGGCAGGTCCTCCAGTGTGGGGTGGTTGTAGCAAACACAAAGGTATGGTCCTGGATAATATTTTTATACAGTAATTACAGCGTAGGCAAAGCATGTAGCTAGACTTAAGCTTAATTTATACGCATTTCAAAATAGGATCAGAAAGGGGATAAAGGAATGGAGCCCTTCCTGAAACATGTAGAAATAAAGCTTCTGAAGTCTAGCTACATGCTTCTGCCTGCATTTTAATTACCACATGGAAGCATTTATCCAGGACCATATCTTTGTGATTGCTACGAACAAGCCACATCAGGGAACTTTCCAGCATAAGTGAGCTTAAAGGAGAAGTAGAGCCAAAGCTCTTTTGCACTACTGTAACCCGTTTTCAGCCAGCTAAAGCCCACTGTCAGCTGACATCACTGAGCTGGTCTGGACTCTGGAGATAACCCGACTTTAATGCTGGCATCCACCTAGATGCCTGGACCAGCAGCACTAGAAGGGCAAGCAGAGAGCTGGGACTGACAGTTCCTGACTCTCTACTCGGGGAAGACTTAGAACTGAGAAATCAGTGGTCTTTGATCACTCTGTTCTTCGCCTTAGAAAGGTCTAGGAGCCCGATGCAGCATCCTCTTAGGTAAGTATTAATGTGTTTTTTTTTTTTTTTTTTTTGTATTCACGAACTTCTCTTTTAACCTGCACATGTGTGTATAAACGGCCATTGAATAAATAGAACCATATATTCACCCTGTGTTTTTTCTAATTGAGAGAGGTATTCTTAGAAGCACTTTACCATTTGTAAATTTCTTTTAGGTACACCAGGGGTGTAGCTACACTGATTTGTGAACTAAGCCTTATGTTCAATTAGAATGCCATAAAGGACCACTATTCTGAACATATTGTATGTTAATTGCTGTGATTATTACAGACAGGGAAATTATTCAGATAAAGGAACAACTAAAATGTGGAAAATAGTTGGTGTTCAAAAGCCCCCTTTTTTTTTGTGTTGCTTCACTTTCTGTTAACCTAGTGACTGTGAATAACATTTTGATTGCATCATGTCTGACCCTTTCTTGTTATTGCCAGCCGCTGTGCAAATTATTTTGTTGTATTTTCTCTTTTTTTTTTAAAAAATGGTGTGATAGAGTTGTTTAAGGATCTTCAGACTTACAAAATTAAGAAAACAAGTTTTAACTGTGCATGTGTGATTCAGGGGTGTATGAAGAATGGAAACATTGGGCAGACCATCTATGTTGCAAAAGCAAGATGGCCTGTTGTCACTTAGTGGGCCTTTTTAATCTTTTTTTTGTCACCAAAGTTTAAGTCCATGCGTTTAAGACATCTATGTGCATTTCCTAATTTTATCTGCAGATGTAAATTTGCCCATATCAGATATTCAGTTTTAATACTTTATATAAAGAAAGGAATCCGATTGGCTTCTGTGGATAGTGGCTGCACTTTTGCGTTTTTTTTTTTTCCTACATCGGCTCCATTACAGCCTCTGTGACTAAAGCGAAATATATTTACTTTGCATAGTCTTTTTCTCATTGATATCCCATTCTTGTCTATTTCTGCAGGGAGGAGAAAAGGATAGAAGTAATGAGCGAGGCTGGCCAGTAGCAGAGAGTGCAGTGTGGCAGACAGAAGAAAGGCGAAGGTCTAAGCAGACAAGGAAGGAATATTTCAAGGTATTTGAATATGTAATACAGTGTTTTTAACATGCTGCTTACATTAAAATTCTTTTTTTTTCCCTTTCATTTTTCTAGTTATTGCTGCTCTCTTAACTTGCTGTTTTTTTTTTTTCTGTATAACCCTTTTGACTTTGCACGCTCTTTGTATTCCCACACAAAGCTGATCAATGTATCACTGTCCTTGAAAAGCAGTCCATGTATATTTTTATGTCTTTGGCTTCTAAACAGTATATAGATCCATTTGTAAAGCAAATTTTTACAAAGCTTTTCAGCAATCTTGAAACTTTTAAAAGCGACCTTCAGTTCCTATGTCTGCATGTTGAAAACACCACTGCATAATTGGTGACACTCACTTTAACCCTTTCTTGACCAGAGGCCACTGAAACCTAGATGCCAGGACCAAATTTAGTAGCATTGGTTAATTTGACAATACCTCTATAATTCACCTACCAAAATCTTTTTACAGGCCTATAATGCTTTTATATATAGGGTGTTAACATGTTTGCTCATGATTTGTATTATGAGATGACAATTAGACAATTTGTTTTGTTGTTGTTTTAGTCTTAATTTTTTATCCTATTTTGTATATATATATATATATGTTTACTATTTTACTGTAATGCACAGTGGCAGCTGCAGGTGGTCACCTTTTACAGTGGCAATGCTGTTGTCCTGTAAATGAATTGATTTTGACTGATTCAACTGGCATTCAGCATCACTGTAAATGACACCTAACTCCCACAGTCTAACTTTTTTTTTTTTTCTTTGTTTTGTAGAATCCACAATTCCATGACACAAGGTTGTGGCTAGTATCCTCACACCCTTTTTCTCATGAACCTCAGTTGCATTTTAACAGACATATCACTAGATGGCAGTATTGGCCTGGAAACACTATATTATATACATATACTGTACATATACACTGCTCAAAAAATTAAAGGAACACTTTGAAAACACATCAGATCTCAATATGGAAAATATCATTCTGGATATCTATAGTAGTATGAATTGGGTAATGTGTTAGGAATGTAAGGATGCACAATTGTTTGATTGAAATTTAAAATGATCAACCTACAGAGGACTGAATTCAAAGACACCCCAAAAATCAAAGTGAAAAATTAATACAGCAGGCTAGTCCATTTTAAAGTAATATCTAAAATGTGTCGCGCTTCACACTTTTGTATTAAATCAATAAATAACTTGTGACACACAATAATATAAGCGTGACAAAACTGTGCTCTTCAAACAGTGCAATATTTTGTGCAAAAACGCATATAAATATATAAAAAATATAATCGTAAAATTAATATGAAGTCCACTCTGTGCTTCCAATCTTGCTAGTGTCTATAAAAATAATATTAAAAATAAAATAACAATTGATTCCCCCTGCTGAAGCCACGTGACCCTGTGGCGTAATGCGTAGGGGAGGGGCTCTGATGTCACAACGCTGATGCGGATAGCGGCAAATACAAACTGAGGACCTGAGCATACGATATTCGTTTGAAACAGCACTTTAACATGTGAGTGCGGAATTCTTTTCTTTAATAAAAAGCAACTAAATTTTAAAGGATAAGGCACTATTGTTATTCCTCTTTCTATGATATTCCACAATACCGGGAGGTGGAAGCCATACACAGATTCACCTCATCCATCCACCGAGGTTTAGTGTGGATAGAAAAGGAGTGAGGGAGACCCCTGGTGGGAGAAAGGCGGTAACACAAGCATATCCATTTGAATTTGGGAAACAAGCATTCAACATGGAAAACACCTTTGAGTCCTGATGGGACAAAAAGCGATATTAGCCACTTAGTCTGGCTAATTGGTAAGGTGAGCGTACATCTACCCTTGAGCACCGGGAGTGTGGCACGGCACATTATTTTTATAGACACTAGCAAGATTGGAAGCACAGAGTGGACTTCATATTAATTTTACGATTATATTTTTTATATATTTATATGCGTTTTTGCACAAAATATTGCACTGTTTGAAGAGCACAGTTTTGTCACGCTTATATTATTGTGTGTCACAATTTTATTATTGATTTAATACAAAGTGTGAAGCGCGACACATTTCAGATATTACTTTATACTTTTTTACACAAAATATGAGTATGTGTTTAGTGTTGATGCATCACAATTTTATTAACAATTGTTAAGATTCACATCTTTATAAGATTGTTGCACGTAATAGAGAGAATATCACATTTTAGCTCACGAGCATCACTTTTATTAGGCTAGTCCATTTTGCTGACATTTCATTGCAGCAACTCAAAATGGTGCTCAGTAGTTGGTATGGCCCCCACATGCTTGTATGCATGCCTTACAACGTTGGGGCATGCTCCTAATGAGATGATAGATGGTGCCCGGGGGTATTTCCTCCCAGATCTGGACCAGGGTATCACTGAGCTCCTGGACAGTCTGAGGTGCAACCTTTCAGTGTCGGATGGACTGAAACATGATATCCCAGAGGTGTTCTATTAGATTTAGGTCAGGCGAATGTGGGGCCATTCAGTGGTATAATTTCCTTCATCCTCCAGCAACTGCCTCCATACTCTCGTGTAGGGTCTGACAATGGGTCCAAGGATTTCATCCTGATACCTAATGGCAGTCAGGGTGCCATTGTCTAGCCTATGAAGGTCTGTGCGTCCCTCCATGGATATGCCTCCCCAGACCATCACTGACCCACCACCTAAAGGGTCATGATGAACAGTGTTACAAGCAGCGCAATGTTCTCCATGGCTTCAATTGTCCTTTCACGTCTGTCACATGTGCTCAGGGTGAACCTGCTCTCATCTGTGAAAAGCACAGGGTGCCAGTGGTGGACCTGCCAATCGAGCTGTATGGTGCCGGGCAGTGAGCACAGGGCCCACTAGAGTACGTCAGGCCCTCAGGCCACCCTCATGAAGTCTGTTTCTGATTGTTTGGTCAGAGACATTGACATCAGTGGCCTGCTGGAGGTCATTTTGTAGGATTTTGGCAGTGCTCATCCTGTTCCTCCTTGCACAAAGGAGCAGATACCGGTCCTGCTGATGGGTTAAGGACCTTCTATGACCCTGTCCAGCTCTCCTAGAGTAACTGCCTGTCTCCTGGAATCTCCTCCATGCTCTTGAGGCTGTGCTGGGAGATGCAGCGAACTTTCTGGCAATGGCATGTATTGTTGTGCCATCCTGGAGAAGTTGGACTGCCAGTGCAACCTCTGTAGGGTCCAGGTATTGCCTCATGCTACCAGTAGTGACATTGACCATAGCCAAGTGCAAAACTAGTTAAAAAAACAGAAAGGTGAGTAGGGAAAAAATGTCAGTGTCCTCCACCTGTAAAAGCATTCATGTTTTGGGGGTTGTCTCATTGTTGTCCATCTAGTGCACCTGTTGTTAATTTCATTAACATCAAAGCAGCTGAAACTGATTACCAACCCCGTCTGCTACGTAACTGACCAGATCAAGTCAGTGTGTATGTGTAAGCTGCAGTACCCATGCCAAGGGATCTCTGTATCTACTGCAGTCCTAACTCTGTATTTCCAGAGATTCCATAGTAGGAGCACATATACAGTTAGGTCCATATGTATTTGGACACAGGAACAATTTTCATACTTTTGGCTTTGTATGCCACCAGAATAAATTAAAATGAAACAATCCAAATGAATTTGAAGAGCAGACTTTCAGGTTTAATTCAAGGGGTTGAACATAAATATCAAGTACACATTTTAGGAACTGCAACCATTTTTATACACAGTCCCTCCATTTTCAGGGACTCAAGTGTAATTGGAAAAAAAATGAATATAATCATAAATAAAATGTTCATTTTTAATATTTTGTTGTAAATCTTTTACTGGCAATGACTGACTGAAGTCTGGAACCCATGGATGTTACCAAAGACTGGGTTTCCTCCTTTCTGGTGCTTTGCCAGGCTCTTACTGCAGCTGTCTTCAGTTGTTCTTTGTTTGTGGGTCTTTCTACCTTTTTAGTTTTGCCTTCAGCAAGTTAAATTCATGCTCAATTGGGTTGAGATCAGGTGATTGACTCGGCCATTGCAGAATTTTCCACTACTTTTCTTTCAAAAGCTCCTGGGTTGCTTTTGCAGTGTGTTTTGGATCATTGTCCATCTGTACTGTGAAGCGCCGTCCAATCAACTGTGCTGCATTTGGCTGAATCTGGGCTGACAGTACAGTGGGGCAAAAAAGTATTTAGTCAGCCACCAATTGTGCAAGTTCTCCTACTTAAAAAGATGAGAGGCCTGTAATTGGCATCATAGGTAGACCTCAACTATGAGAGACAAAATGAGAAAAAAAATCCAGACAATCACATTGGCTGATTTGGAAAGAATTTAATTGCAAATTATGGTGGAAAATAAGTATTTGGTCAATATCAAAAGTTAATCTCAATACTTTGTTATATATCCTTTGTTGGCAATGACAGAGGTCAAACATTTCCTGTAAGTCTTCACAAGGTTGGTACACACTGTTGCTGGTATGTTGGCCCATTCCTCCATGCAGATCTCCTCTAGAGCAGTGATGTTTTGGGGCTGTCGCTGGGCAACACGGACTTTCAACTCCCTTCAAAGGTTTTCTACGGGGTTGAGATCTGGAAACTGGCTAGGCCACTCCAGGACCTTGAAATGTTTCTTATGAAGCCACTCCTTCGTTGCCCGGGCGGTATGTTTGGGATCATTGTCATGTTGGAAGACCCAGCCACGTTTCATCTTCAATGCCGTTGCTGATGGAAGGAGGTTTGCACTCAAAATCTCACAATACATGGCCCCATTCATTCTGTCCTGTACATGGATCAGTCGTCCTGGGCCCTTTGCGGAGAAACAGCCCCAAAGCATGATGTTGCCACCCCCATGCTTCACAGTAGGCATGGTGTTCTTTGGATGCAACTCAGCATTCTCTCTCCTCCAAACACGACGAGTTGTGTTTCTACCAAACAGTTCTATTTTAGTTTCATCTGACCATATGACATTCTCCCAATCCTCTTCTGGATCATCCAAATGCTCTCTAGC